CCCCAAAACCCCAAAACCCCAAAACCCCAAAACCCCTTAAGCCCAGTCCAGAATGAATTATAAAATTTAAATTTACTACTAGTTACTTCATCCAAAAATGGAAGATTCAGATGATATTCGCATTAGACAAGAAACAGAAAATATCGAAAAGTAAGACTTTTGGGTAGCTAACTTCTCTAGTTGGTGGACAGATGAGAGATTCAATGATACTAACAGAAATTACACTGCAAGAGACGTTGCTGTTATCAGACCCTCCATTTCTTTGACAACTCCCTCTCACTACTTGTCAAGGAAGTTGTACTTCACTTTGAGGAGAAATTTCAAGAAGGGTGCTGTTTCTAATACTTTTGGAGCTCTTGACAATATCCAGGCGATTACTATGAGCAAATATCTTACCTCCATTTATGTGAGCGGGTGGCAACTCTCATCCAACTGAGACGAACCAGGACCAGACTTTGCTGATTACCCATCTATCACCGTGCCTGAGCATGTAAACAAGTTGGTCAATGCTCAGATCTTCCATGATAGGAAGCAGAATGAAGAGAGATCTAGAATGTCTGCTCAGGAGAGGAAGGATACACCTAGAATTGACTACCTAACACCTATTATTGCAGATGCTGATGCTGGTTTTGGAGGTGTTACTAGTGTCATGAAACTGACAAAGGCCTTCATCGAAGCTGGAGTATCTGGAATCCATATTGAAGACCAGAAGGCAGGTGCTAAGAAATGTGGTCATCTCGGAGGAAAAGTTCTTGTAAATACTAAAGAACAAATGCAAAGACTCTATGCTGCAAGATTACAAGCAGATGTAATGGGATGCGACTTAGTAATCGTTGCAAGAACTGATTCTTACTCAGCTGCTTTCTTAGATACTAACATTGATCCTCTCGACCATCCTTATATTTTGGGTGTTGTCGATGAAGAATATCCTGATAACTTAATGACCTTCCCAGAGGCTGGTGAGAAGGCTATTGCAGAGACTTTTGTCAACGAGTCAAGAATCAATAAAATGCTCAAAGTTTGGAACGCCAACTGTACGAACATGTCCTTGAAAGAAGCTCGTGAATTTGCCAAAGAACTCGGGTTCGAATTGAAATTCGATTGGGAAGCTTGTCGCTCAGATGAAGGATACTACAAAATCAAGGGCACTCTAGACTACTGTGTAAAGAGAGGAAGAAAGTTTGCTGAGGTAGCTGATCTTCTGTGGATGGAGACACCAAAGCCAGATTTGAAACTCGCCAAAGGATTCGCAGATGGAATCCACGCTGTTAAGCCTGACCAAATGCTAGCATATAATTTATCTCCAAGTTTCAACTGGGATGCATCAGGAATGAATGAGGAAGAAATTGCCGCTTTTATTCCATCATTGGGTAAGATGGGATACTGCTGGCAATTCATCACCCTTGCTGGATTCCATCTGAATGCATTGATGTGTGAAATTTTTTCAAGAGAAATTGGCACACAAAACATGATGAGATATGTAGAACTCATCCAAAGAGCTGAGAGAAGAGAGAATGTTGCACAACTCAAGCACCAGAAATGGTCAGGTGTCGATCTCAGAGATAAAGAGGTAGAACTATCCTCTCCTTTCAATGTAGGCACTAAGGCAAACCAAGATGGTTGCACAGAGAGCCAGTTTGGAAATGCTAAATTGTAGTGCTTCCTTAGGATTATTTAGATTAGAAATAGCTCTTTCAAATCAAATTTCTTTTCTCGGGGTTTTGGGGTTTTGGGGTTTTGGGGTTTTGGGGTTTTGGGG